GCTGTGGGGCTGAGGTCGATGCCTACACAGACCACCACCTCGCCTGCTGCCGCAACGCGGATTCGTCGTCGAGAGGGCGTAGGTTTCGGTCAACCGCGAGGCTGTTGGCCCGGAGGGTCGGGTCGTGCAGAAGCAGTGGCTTGCTCGCACTACAATGCCACAAGTCCACGCTCCACAAGTCCACGCTGATGACCGTCGCCACCTCGACTTCGTTGTCTATGCGGCGACGACCCCCCGAGCGGGGCCCCACTCTCTGCAGTTGCTACAGGGGGGGTCGCCTGCACAAAGATATCGCGCCCACCCCGCAGTGCCACCCCAAACTCGCGGCGTGGGAACTCTGCCGCCCCACAGGCGCCGGTCTGTTGGCTCAAGAACAGGAAACGTCGAAGAGCGACCGCCCGCACGAACATCAGACTCTCGGCTCCTGAGCAACCACTTCCGATGCATGCGTCTTCAAGTCCTCGGCTGCGAGGCATCGTGCGGGCTTGCAACCGCGGTGCGTTTCTCTTCCCGAGCCTCCGGCGCTCCCATCTTCAAGGGCTTGGAAGGGTCTCTTTGCACCCGGTACCTACAGCATGTGACGGCGACCAGAAACGACACCGAAAAAGAGTGAGAAGAAAGAGAGAGAGAGAGAGAGGGGGGGGAGGAAAAAACTGGCACGTCCCCTGTTTGCATTCCGACGCCACACCGGCGCCCAGTGCTCTGCAGTTTACGGTTTAGCCAGCGAAGCTATATATGGGTTTTGAGTGGTGCTGCAGGACATGAAGGAATTCGTTTCAGGCCTTCAGGCGCTCTGAACTTTTGGCTGAGGCCTGTCCTACATGGGGTTTGGCAACTCTGAATTGACGAACTGCATGGTCAGACTGGGAGTGAAAGCTGTCGGCCGTAAGCTTACCGCCTGCATCTTCTTCCAGCACGTCAAGCACGGAAGGGCGATCGCGAGGAAAAGGAGCGAGATGTGGATACTTCCGCGCCCGACGTTGGCGCAAGACTTCTAAGGCCCTCGAGCCTACGAGAATGACGTATGTGTCATGAGGGCTCCTGCGTGTTTTCTCAAGTCCTTTCATGCAGTTTGAGAGGCTCGCTGCCTCAGCCTTGCCGCGGCTTTAGAATCCTTGCAGGCTTGCAACCAATGGCAACCCTTTTTGACAACCAGCAGATCGCAACAGGGCAGTTTCCGCAGCCGCCAGTCTAGTGACCCGGGGCTCTCCTTTAGAGCGCCCAGTGGGCTTAGCATCAATGCTGCCGCAGCACTCCATGCTTACAGCAGCATCTGAAGCTATGAGTTCGCCACTTTGGTTGAAGGGAAAAACCTGCTCCGGTTCTCGATCGCGAAATGATCACGGGCCGGTGTCACGAACCCTTTCTAAGAGAAGGTTCACACTCAGAAAGGGAACCAAAATTGAGGATAATGGCGTTGGCTCACCAAGTTGTTGGTGACGCATCCCACTAGCACCAGGATCACGGTTCCCAGCAATGAAGGTGTCACCACCTAGGTGAGGCTCTGGCCGATTGAAGCCAACATGCGGGGCATGTCTTTAAGAGTAGAGCCTGCGCTTTGGAAGCCCTTTGCCCAAGTAGCCACTGGCAGCCTTCGACTCAGAACCCCGTGAAGCATCAACACCACCAAGTCATGCCTCCATCTTGTGGCAATTAAGAAACATACACAAATGGGAACCTAGGGTCGAGGCTCACGGGCTTGTTTTCACCAAGGAGCATAAGCAAATTTGAACTTGTGAAGCACTGGAACGATCACGAAAAGCAGCGCTGTTGCACCACCGGGAGGATGCACGGTGTTGGTCAGCTCCTGGACATGGACGTGATCCGAACACGGACCACATATGAATGTATACACCTACATATACACGTATGTATGATATGAGTATGCGAAATACAGACGCTACAGCGTGAGCCATCCCAAAAAGAGATAAAAGGCTTCAAGTTTCACGGCCATAATGAACATCTGGAGCTCTTCCAGCTTCGTAGGACTTACACTCATTGAAATATTGAGGGGATCCTATCTTCCCACTCATCTGAAAAGGGGTTGACGGGATCTGGACTAGCCGACTCGCCCGCCCAAGCTCCTGCAGGGTGATGGTCAGGGCAACAGAAAGAGCCCCGCCCAGCCAAATGTATTCGCTCAGGCCTGCGAAGCCCATGAGGTCGTAGACCTGGGAGCTGCGTCTACGATCGGATGGAAAAAACAGATATGGGCATCTCCTGAATATGATGCTGAGATTTTATCCCTGTCCAACATGGGCAACTCTGAAGGCCCCACCCGCAGCCAAGGCGCACAAACACCGGTCAACCCGCCGATGCAGTTCCCGATGATAGCATTCTTCGGCTGAGCAAAGGGCACTTTCCATGCGCTGAAGATGATCACAGACCTGGCAGGCAACGCATGGTAACCTGATATGAGTTCCTCGTGGTAACCTGCTACTCCTCTATAGGATGCAGGTATGGTAACTCCAGCACCCTACGAACACGGCTCAAAGAATTCGGATACCCGCCCAATTTCTATGCTTCAAACATGTGTCATTCTGAGCCAACAAACCGTAAATGCCATAGGATCCAAGCCGCATGGCGCCAAAGGCTCCCACCAGCAGAACTTCATGGAGGTTGGGGCCAATGAAGTAGGTATGCAGCAGCCCTAAGGTGCCTGGCCGTGGGAAGTCAGGGCATGAGCTCAGCAAACTCCAGATTTCAGGCCCAAATCCAAACCGTACCAGCGCAGCTTCAAGATTTTTGAAAGTGAGCAGGAGTGAGCTCTGACAAAATTTGGCATGTGAAAACTGAAAACATATTACAATAGATGATGCCAATCACTGCGAGAGCTGACATTTTGAAGCTTGCTCTCTCAGGCATTGATTTTCCAAGCCCTGACACGAATCTCGAACAAGAGCCAAGATACCGATGCCCACGAAAGCGCCCAGGAAGCTACACCAAGTCTGTGCCAAGGGTGGAGAAGCCGCAGGCAGTGGCTTGGCGTTGGCGCCCAGGAACTTCATGAAATAGTTGGAAGGCGTGGATTCCTCTGCCTCCTCCGATGGGCACCAGTACTGCGGATAGGTCCGGGCACCCGACAAGTTGTTTGTGATGCAGGCAACGGCCACCATGATCACGGCTCCCAGGAATGAGAGGCAGAAGACATACTTGTAGCCTGAGATGGCCACTCACCTATTATTGTGGCTCAAGCATAAGATGAGAATGGACCTCATGGACCGAAAGAAATGGCTCAGTTTGGCCAACTGATCCGAAACCTCAGAATGACCGAGGCATGGCTTTGACTTGGTTCCAAGGCACCCAAATGCTGCACCAAGGGGGTTGTGACGTAGATCAAGGCAGTCGCTCCGCCTTGGCTGCTAGACTGTTAGGCGTGCTCCCTGGCGACATACCAAGTTCCAGCCCCTCTGTTGTACATGTCTGGTTCTGCTCGAATACGAGGAGTATCGCCAAAATGGGGATTTCATTGGGATTCTGATCATTAAACTTTTGAGCATCTGGTTACAGATCCTCAGCTGAACCTGCAGCCAACACGACGCGTAGAATTGATTGGATATCTCCTTCACTGGATACCCACCACTAGAACACGCATCGTCCCACCTGGTGGATGCACGGTGCGTGTGACCTCTTGCGCCACGATGGTCAGGGAGACCGCCAAGGCAGAGGCCAGCCAAACATAGCTGCCCAGTCCCAGGGCTGTCAGCAAATCGTGCACCACCACACCCACCAAGCCGCCAATGGTGTTGCCTTGGACGGCCGCAGCTTGGCAGGTGGGTACTTCAATGCTGGGGCTGAAGCATACACACACACACACACACACACGCATCCAAAAAAAGGGGAGAGCAGGCAGCTCCCCAGTCCGTTGAGCAGAGTGGCCGATGATGCAGTTTTTGGGCTGCGCCACGGGTGTCTTGAAGCCGCTGAAGAGAATCACGGACATGGCACCGAAGGATCCCACCAACAAGGGCATGTGAATGTGGCTCTTGGGAAGCATGAAATAGGCATGCATCAGGCCGATGGCGCTCATGCCGGCGAAAGCACCGAGGAAGCTCCAGGCCAAGAACCTGATTCAGCTGGGGCCAAATCCAACCGAAAATCAGGGTTGTCTCTGCATAGCTTCGATTATGAGAATCACCACATAAAGAAGGAACATTTACGTGGAACATCTCATAACCATGGTCTGCCTGCCACGATGCGTCCACACATCTCTGAAACATCAAATCAAAACAGCTCCCTGGCTTCAACACCCTACCAACGAATCAACTACCTGGCCCCGCTTTCGGTAGCTACTTGCCCCTCTGGTCGTCCACGTCGCAGTCGGTGTGTGTTGAGCTTTTGAGCCCACCTGCTTGGCTACAGTAGTTGCTGTCGCATTGTCTCCCACTTCTCATGCCCTTGACACGTCTGCGACCCGACGTGCTGTCGCAAGCGCCTGCGTGCTCTCGCCTTGCGACACCTTCAACAGCAAGGATGTGCGTTACATCGAAGCTCCTTCTCTTCCGCATGTCTTCCCCAAAGTAGGAAAGGCCCTGCAAACTGCAAAAGGTTCTACGATTCTACAGCTTCTTTCTTTGTCCTGAAAGTGGGGAAGCTCCACAATGGCCGACCCATGGATGGCCCCCCAACTCAACATCCCTAAAGGCAAGGGGCGACGGAGGCAGTTGTGGGGGTGGGCTCTCACCCGCACCTTGCATCTTGGACCAATACGTTTCGCACCAGCTGGGATCTGCGGATTCCTGATAAGACTGGGGTGGAGATGTTTGTAACGAACACAACAATCCTGCGGAAATTCGAAAGCGACCTCCTTTTGCAACCATTCTCGGAATAAAGCTACCCCTGGTCCTTGCTGGAGTCGCTGGCGTTCACCTCGCCTGCCTCCGCATTTTCCATCAATTTCATCTCGGTATATGACTGCGTCATCGATCGAATCACTCCGTGCGGATCTGACGCTTCTTCCGAGTTTCCTGAGCCTAAAAAGGCTGCCCGATCGCGCCACGAAGACATGTGTGGCAAGGCACTCGCAATGAGATCCAAAGGGTGGCAGAAGCTCATGGAAAAGACACGGACATGGGAAAACCTCCAGACTGGCTCGGTCAGTGTTCCTGCATCAACTGCTTGATACCTCAGGGCTACAGAACGTCGGCTGGACGAATGCACGTGCTGAGGATAAATTCTTTGCAGGTGCAGCCTGCGATGGATTGCAGACCAGCTGAACTCTGAAGGCATCAGCTAGGGGTCCCGGCTCTTAGCCTGGAGGCGCAGGCCTTTCCTGAGCTAGAGTGCTCTGCTCTCGCAGTGGCTCAGAAGGCCAAAGATTCAATTGCTCCGAGGGACCCTCCTGCTTGTACATGGCAGGCCGTACTCCACCATGGCGTCTGACTCCTGTGAAGACCCTTCGAAACGAGAAGCAAGTGCACACATGCGACCGATTATCTAAGCACCGAAGCCCACGAGTGCAGCCGAAGCACTGACCAACTTACAGCAGCTGTCGAAGGGTTTAGCTCGAGCTTCGGCATGCCGGCGGACACAACGAGATTGTTTGCTGCTAGACTGCGGGCCGTGGGCCTCTTTGACGGTCGACTGGATGCAACGCGACTCACTACTGTGTAAGCGGTATAAACTTGAAACAGAATCAGGAAAGGCAAGTCCGGGCAACTGGCAAGGAAGACTTATGGGCGAGGTCGGATAAGCTCACGGCACAAGGTCGCGACAGGATCGCTCACTCGCTTACAGGGAGACGCTTGCGTTGGTGTCAAGCTGTATCCAAAACAGTGGGCAGCTCAGGCTGATGATGCTCTTGTTACGGGCACGGCTTTGTGCCAGCCAGGGCATTGCTCTGCGTCCACTTTTTCCGCCACAGCGCAAGTCCTTCTGGAGAGTTGATGAAACAGAATCCTGCACATTCAGCACAACGAACGGACCGCACGAGCATTCTAGCCAGCTTGAAAACGAAGTATGCGGAGCAGCGCCAAGCCGCAGGAAGTCAGACGGCTCTGTCCCCCAAGTCTGCAAAGGAAGGCTGGAGCGGCAGGTTGAAAATCGTTTCTTCAGGCTTTAACGTAACCGGGTTGTGTCCTTCTGACCTTCTCGTGAAACCACGTGCTTGAAAGAAGTCAAACGCTGTCCGAACCTCCACTTTGGCGGGATCGGCATAGTGCAAAAACTTGCGGCACAAGGAACAAAATACAAGCCGGCACAAGAAAGGTCACTCCCAGCAGCACCGAACGCGTGTAAGAGTCACTGATGACCTGTGCAGCGTTTGATGCGCTTCGCTGAAGTAAATGACATTCGCAAAAAGAAGACACTGAAGGGAATTCCGTTTCCATGAGCCTCGACCGAACTGAAATGTCGCACAACTTTCCCCATTAATGTACACGCAGCCTGCTTTATGAGGAGGCATGGTCATCGGAATATCCTCTTCACAAGACTAGCAAATAGTGCTCAATAATGCCACAGTCACCTCCTCTAACCATTTCGGGTCATTGTCATTGAAGACAGCACCCACCTGCGACACCACAGGGGACATGAATTGCCGAAACCGACACCTAGCAGACCTTCACCCCTTACCCACAGCGATCTATGAAACTGCAGAGTGTCATTGAGAGGTGTGCGCACACCTGGAGCGCGATACCAAAGCACATGTTCATCAGCGTGACAATCATCAGGTTGAGAAGCACCTCCAGGCACCAAAGCTTTTCTATCCCACAAGCACGTACGAGCATGAATTCGGCTACGGCAGCTTCCCAAAAGCTTGCGATTGACTCTTCCACGAAGAACATGAACAAGTTCTGTGGTGTCGGCCCCATGCTGCCTTGGCAACCGCAAACCCCTACCTGCCTTATCTGAAATCAATTGCCCCAAAGGCACGTCGCAGACCAAGTATCGCCGTGGCCTCCTGAAATAGCTTGAGAGGTAAAGACCCACCTGGGCGGGATGATTCGTTTGTTGCTGGCCAAAGCAGGTTGCGGAGAAGGATTGAAGCATATTGAAGTTGCACCTCATGGCTCTCTTTTACAGTAAAACAAAAGATCATGATCCCAAGCATCGCAAGTGCATGAGCCCTGAGCCCCCAAGGGCAACCGGCACCCAAGGGTAACACAGGGGCCCAAACTCCGAGTTCGCCTTGCCTTGGCGGTGGTCGGCATGACCCCCAACCAGAGGCCCACGAAGTAGCAGAGCCAGTGAAAAGACCATTTCTGCGGCGCGTGCCGGGGCTCACGATGGCAGTCCGGCCAGCACGAACCGATGCTCATGTCAAGCCCGGTCCACAGAACAGGACACAAGATCACCAGGAAGTAGCCTCGAGGCAGAGGGGCGGTCCCCCCAAAAAACATCGGCTTCCAGAGCCATCCTAAGTTAACCGGGCTCCTCCACACATCATCCCCTATTCTCAGAGGACTTCTATTGGCCTCCTCCCAGAAAGTCACACAGTCAGTCAAGTCACCGTACGGGAACATGTGTTGCCCTAGCTGTCTGTCGAACGCGGAGCGGAGTAGAGGCGCAGCAAAGTCTTCAAACTGCTGCACGCTTCCGAACCAGTTGCAGACACACTGAACCTGCCCGCTTTGGTAGATATTACATAGCGAAGCACCGCATCTGCAGTCTAACTATACCTGCAAAATCAATTTCACAAGAGCCTTCAAGGAACCACTATCTCCCGATCACACGGCAAGACTGCACCGCCGGTGCGACGTGCCCGGCAGTGCAACAGTGGCATTTTGTGCTTGACAACCGAAAATTTTGCAGCTGTCGATGGAAGATCTCAATGCTGTGGTGATAAGCTCGCATAGCCACAGTGCCGATAGAAGACAACATAGAAGCAAAACTGTATCAGGTACACATTGTACTGCTCATGCCACTTGACAGATTTCTCCGGCCAGTCAAAGAAAACTGTCCACAGCCCGCCGATGATGGGATGGCTGCCCATGCCACCATCGCAGCAGGTCCCAGAAGCGTGGGCCGTATCACAGCACGTGGCTTGCCACTTCGATGCAGAAAAGCAGCAATTTCGAAAACACACCAAAGACGATCCTTCGCACGCGCTATGTTCGCTATTAGATGTCAACCTGTGCATACGTAGAAGAAGCGGTTAGACACCATGGCGCCACCAGCTCCCGGAGGAGCACATACCACACGGAAGCCAGAAAACTGCAGAAAAAGGTGGCTTCGCATGGCAGAAAGCTCTCAAACACGCGGAACCATAAACTCGCTGAGGGCCTCACGGGCTGCTTCAGCACAGGGTGCTGTTGCCTTCAACTGACGCTGGGCCGCCTTGGCAGACCAGTTTCGAGCCTGAGAAAAGGCCTCCAGAGAGGCACTCCACTGTCTACGCAAAGGAAGAAGGCGGAGGGAGCAGCCCTGATCTGCTAGTGCATTCAAATGCCGCAGTTGCTCAACCGAGTAGGACCAGGGAGCAGCCCAATCCAGTCGCTTGTTATGGCTAGGAATCCATTCAATCTCAGCAAACTCAGCAAGACCTTCGCCGGCTTCCCTCCAGAAGCGCTCGAGAGGACCTTGCCAGATGCCACGGCTCCACCCATTTCGCAGGCGCAGGACTGCCGCAAAGTTGTCCGACAGAAGACGAGCTCGGCAACCAGTTCTGCGCACCAACCAAAGCGCGTGCTGGAGGGCGACGCGCTCGCCAGCCGCCGGGGTCTGCTCGCCGTCGCCAACCAAGCCAGAGAAGGTGCACGTGTCGTTGTCGAGCTAGGCCACCACGCACCACGCTGCTCGCTGCCACAGTTCCAAGCCCCGCTGCACCAAACACCCACCGTCGGTAGCGAAAAGGACTGGCCTACCAGCAACAGCCGCACCGCTGCAGAGAGTCAGCAGCCGATCCTCGCACATGACCGGCCCGGGACGCGGGACCTTGTCAGGCAAGGGCACCACCTTGAAGAGCAGCTTGCGCTCGTAGTGTTCCGTGGCGACAAGCTCTTCGGCCTCAGTGGCGGCACTGCAGTCGAAGGTCAAGTGGGCCCGCGACGAGCTCTGCAGCCCGCACTCACACGTGAAAACAACTGGCTCCTTGAAGTGAGCAAGGGTTACACCGTCAATGGAGCAGGCCGTGGCCACGCGCATAGCGTCACGTTGACCGGAGCTCGCCATTTCCTGTAGGGCCTCAAGGACCAAAGCGCGGCGCCCGAGCGGAAGCGCACCTTCCGTACGGGCTTCACCATCCCACAACTCTTGGTGCCAAGCTTGCACCGCTGCGCGCCGCACCGCGCCCAACGTGTGGTAGCCAGGGACGAAGGTGCCCACCAGTGTGTCGAGGACACCGTTGACGTAAGTCCATCCCCAGCGAAGACAAAGAGCACGAAGATGACGGCCGGGCTCACAATCGCGGAGGCCAAGGAGAGCCGCAGTCTGAGCTCGGCTCCACTCATGCCTCAAGATCGACATTGCCATAGCAAAGTCCACCGACGTTTCAGGTCTGCCGAGAACGGCGCAGCCTAACAGCCTAGAGCGCGTTGAAGGACGAGAGCCTCCCCACAATGCAACCTCGATGGCCGAAGTCCATTTGGACAGCTGGCCCTTGGCATAGCGCTGCCACGGGCCAGCCCACTGAAAGAGTGAAAGCACCGTGGAGCGAAGCAGCGCACGCCGCATCGCCGGCGCCTTCGCCAGTTTCGCCACCCGCTCACAGCGCAGCTGAATCACTCCCGTAAGGGTCTCAAGCTCAGGCGCAGGCCGATTGGCCGCGACACTGTAATGAATCCCAAGAAGCTTGAAGGAGGTGCACGGTTGTCCCAAGAGCTCACTGTGGATCTCCAGCCTGCGACGCACTCGGGCACAAGTGCCGAAGGATGCAATCTTTCCAGGATGGACGACCATGCCAAAGTGATTGTCGACGTGCCTCCCCGCCTCCACCGCCGCCACTAAAGAACCTACGCCGGCCTCGCCATTCAGCGTCCAAAGGGTCCTATCATCCAAGAATACACGCATGGAGATTCCCGGTGCAGCTCGTTGAGCTGCCGCTATCCACACGGCACTTATAGCATTTACTAGCACCACCGAAAATGGACATCCCTGTTGAAGGCCCCTGTTGATGACGATGGGACATGGATCAGCTTGGTTTGCCACAGCAAGAAAGCGCCGCTGGTCCACATAATAGTCAGCGATGAGCTCCACCAAATCACGCGGCATGCCCAAGTGAGCACAAACAGTTAATGCTTGTCTCGGGCGGACGTTGTCAAAGAATCGCTTGAGGTCAACTTTAGTTCCCACCAAGTCGCCCTGCCCTTGAGCCGCCAACTCGAAGTCATGGAGCAGAGGGTCGTGAACGCCTTGAACACCACGGCCAGGCAAACCACCCTGAAGCTCCTGCATGGCCCAGCCCTGGATCCACGGATGGAGCCGCCGGCAGGCTGCAGAGCCCAAGGCCCGCCAAAGCACGGCCCCAATGGACAAGGGCCTGTAACCTCCTTCAGCCTTAGGGAGGAGTGCAATGCGAATGTCTTTCCAGGCCTTAGGAACCCGATGACACTTAAGCATGACTCTCCACAATACAATGACCTCCTCCCAAAAGTCCTGCGGCAAGCATAAGAGCTCGCGCGCTGACCACCCATCCATGCCCGTGGCCTTTCGGAGGCTACGCTTGACAACCTGCTGCAACTCCGTAGCCGTCACGATGATGGTGTCAACATCCAGCGCCACCCCTGCATCCAGGAAATCCGAAATGAAGGTGGCGGTATCCTCGTTCGGCTCCGCAGCAGCGGCAGTCCACTGGGGTTCCCAAACATCGCGCGCCTCAGCGAGCCGCTCGGTCAACGATAACGGGCGGTTCCAAGCTTCTCCATGCACCGGCTCGGGGATCGCAGGCGATGCTCTGGTGACCCACTTAGCCGCTTTGCCCACATCCCACTGCATTTGTTGGCTCCACTGCTGAATCCTTTCACGCGAGTTGCACTCAGCCTCCAACGTGGCCAAGTGCATAGCTTCATGCATGATTTCCTCGACTCCTTCGGCACAGAGGTTGAGAGCACGAGCAGACCGAACAATCTAATCTTATTGTACAAGTTGCACCGCTCGCCAATGTCACCATGCTCCAAGAGAAGCTCACGAGCACGGCGCACCAAGCGTCGCAGCTGCCTCTCACGCAAACCCTGACAAGAAGGGGCCTTGATGGAAGTAGGGGCAACCGCACTGGGCAGCGCCGGTTCACCGCGGGGCGCATGGCCGCCCTTGGCGCCCATGGCCCACTCCGCTGCCTGACTGAGGAGCTGCCAAGCTCCCTCCACATCACCTTCATTACACAACTGAGTGAAGGCCTCGCGAGATTGAGACCACACTTCGCACCAGTGGTGCGGGCTCACCTGTTCGTGCTGAAGCAGAGGACGAAGAGGAAAGCGAACCACCTTTTCACGACCATGATTTAGGAGAACATCGTAAGCAATCAGATCATGATCTGCCGGGCCTCGATGCGGCTCTCGATGAGTGAAGACGACATGGGGGGTGCCCAATGCGAAGTCAATGCAACGACTGTAGGTACCATCAGCCTGCCTGTGCGTAGGAGGCCGCGCACAATCACCCAAAAGCATCTCGTTGGCCGAGCGCCACCGACCAGAAATCAAAGCCGATGAAATTGGCCACATGTCCTCGATGAGGTTGAAGTCGCCAGCAATGATAGCATCCTCACCGGTCCCCGCCACATACTCAAACACATTGTGGAGGATCTCAGCCGCCTCAGTCCTGGAAGAAGCCGGAAGATAAATGTTCACCAAGAGTAGAGGCCGTTGACGTGGACGCCAAACCCGAAGGACTCCACCCCGCCCTTGGGGGATGCAACTGGGGGGCTGCACCACCTCCAGAGGCCACCTTGATAAAGTCACCACACCCCATTTAAACCCACCACCCTTCACCGGCGCCTGGTCATGAATGTGAAGCTGCCACTTACGACGCTTAGCCATAGCCGTCATAGACCCAAAACTGTCACGTGGGAGACGCGACTCCTGAAGCAACAGAACGTCAAGCTGATGAGCATGGCCAAGGTCAAAGACGTCAGCAGCATGGCCCGGCAGCGTAGAAACATTTAAAGTACCCACCCGCATGAAGTGCTCCCCCGTCATGGGGCAGCACTGACACCACCCTTCACCGGCAGCTCATGGCCAAGGTATCGCAAAGCCAAGCGTGCAGCGGAGCCAGGGGGTCCGCCATGTCCGCGATCTCAACGAGCCTCTCCTTTTCAGCAGTTTGCCGGCGCTTGCCAACGGCACTGCATGCAATCCCCTTGAAGTGCGACCTGAGAGCGGCATGGTAGTGACACCGCTGGCAAACAAAGCGCACTGCGAAGGACGTGGTATCAGCCGTCAGCTTTGGCCACGCAATTGCCTGAATGTGATGCTCTGCCACGCCCTCCGCCTTAGCAGTAGCTGCACGGGCGTTCTTAAGCCGATCGGCAACCTCATCAAACACCTGGAGTACACCACGAATGCCCTGTTTGAGCTCCTCAGGATGATCATGTTCGAGGGCCTGCGTGAGCCGGGCCACAAACTCCTTGCGACCTCTCCCAACCGGCATGCGGCCAGGATCACAATGATGCTGCATGATGCTGGCCGGCGTGGTACCCTGACCAGCACACTTGAGGCACACATACGAAGCAGTGGACTTGCGTTGCTTGCCACCAGTGGCAGCCCGAAGCCAAGGGATGCGGAAAACAACGACATCATGATCCCCGTACTTGCAAGCTTTTTTGCGCATAAGGTGGCTAGCAATGCTAGCCGCTCTGCGCACAGCCGTCGCCTTCTTGAAGTTGGTGTGCTTCCGATCCCTACGCCAGGCCTTGATCTCCTGGGGGTGGCATTCCCGACAGTGCTTGACGGCCGCAAGGTAGACCGCTCCAGCCTGTTTGCGTCCTTTAAGCTTGATGCCAACGATGCCCGCAGTGCAATGCTTGCATTGCCACAACACCTCCTGCTGACCCACGCACTTGTCCTTGGCATCCGTGATGGCCCTAAAGCGCCACCTGCAAAGGTTCGTCCAATGAGCCTTACGATCCTTATGCCAAGTTTGCAGGTGCTTAAGTCGCGCAGCGTCGATGCCCGTAGCCGATAAGCCTGCCTTGGTCTCAAAGTCGCAGAACTTGCATTTCCACGAAGTGCGCCTGGTCCTCTTACGAATAGGTGCAGGAGGCTGTGGCTCGGCGTTTGTCAAGTCCTGACTTGCAACCTCATCATCCCGACAACTGGAGGCAAAACCACCACCAACACCCAAGCTGTCAACAGAAGAATTGAAAGCACAGCTAGCTTGGCTAAGAGCAACAGGCTGGCGACGCAACATGTCGATGACAGAAGCCGGGCGGGGCACAGGCAAAAGCTCCCCCGCAGTACCAGCAACACTCGATGCCCCAGTCGACGGCTGGAGCTTGGGCTGCTTGGGTCGTGGCTTTCTGCCCCCCCGTAGCTGCCGTGTAAATGGTGAGGGCGTCGAGCTCATCATCAGTATCACCAGCGTCACCTGGGCCACCACCGCGGCCACCACTTCTACTACCGAAACTCTGCACGGAGCTCACAGCCAACGGGTAAGACCCACCCGTCGGCAGCAACAAATCATAGTGACTGCCTGAATACCAAAGACAGAAAGCATGCTGGCCACTCCCGTGTTTGGTTGGCACCTGCTCCGCTGACACTGGAATGACAGTGATGGAAAGGTCAAAGGCCAGGCATGCAGCTTCAATTTCAAGACAACCAAGAAACTGGCCATCAACCTTCATCTCCTCCAAGTACTCATCGAAACTGGTGTAAGTCGCTGGCTTATCGCTGCAGTTCCGGCCATCCCACCACGTAGCGAAAAGATCCTTCTTCTCCCGCATGTAGTTGTGCAGCTCAGCTCGCACAAGTCGTGCCGGTCGGCGCTTGCCATCATTCTTAGCCCAACTCAAACCCGCGCCGATGCAGTGAGCCAAGCAGTTACCGTCAGTCGGCTGCGCCTCGAGCTTGGTGCCCGGAGGCACCTCCCTCACCTCCTGTGCTCGCCTTTTGCCCTCGGGCTGCACTTTACCATCATCACCCTCCTCGAGGTCACCACGAGTAGCACCGGAAGTGGTGCTAAAGCGCTCCTTAGCAAATTGCTGAGTGCGCTCGGGGCGCAAAGGTTTGCGCCCAGGCTGTTGCCGCGCACTCGCGGCAGGAAGCACATACAACTCAAGCTCATCCTGGCCTTCCTTGATGGGAATAAAGCTAAAGTCATCCTTAGCCGTGGCACGGAAAAACCAGGTGCACTGCCCTCGGCGCAACATGCGCGAGCTCAATGATAGCTCCTTGTAGCCTGCCTCTTCAAGCACCTCGGTGACGGAGTCAGTGCCCCAATGTTTGGGTGCGCCCGTGAGTCGCCACGCTCTGGGTTGGTTCTCACGCTCAACGACCGCACGGGTACCCAGCTGCCGTCGCCCAATGACCAGACCATGCTTCGGCTTGAACGCGACGACCCTCTTAAAGTAATCACCGGACTCCTCGGCCTCCTCTTTCTCAATCCAAGTGACCCCATAGTTGGGCCCCGCGGGGTCCTTACCAAGAGGCTCGATGAAAATCCCATCCTGACCAGACCTGGCAAGCAAAGCAGCAAGGCTCGCCGAGCGAGCACGCGCAAGCCCCACGATGGTCTCGCCAAGGCGCGGTTCCTCCGCCGCGCCCCACCCATCCATGATCCCCAACTTTCCTGTGATAAAGGCCCTGAAGCCCCTTTTGGCCGCAAGCCACTCGGATCGCGAGCAAAAGTCCCTAGCAACAATGACTCGAACGACAACCGAGGCCTCCGTCTTGATGGTCTTTTCGGCCTTTTTACCCTTCAACGTGGGAAGGGCAACTGTTCCGTGTGGCACCTGACAGCTAATGACGGGCCGCATCGTGAGAACAGCACCTTGCCAGTAAGGGGCCCTCTGCTTACCCTCAGGGTCCGGATAAACGATCAGGAACGAGGACTTGAGCCCAGCTCCACGGATCATCGCCTGTGCAATCGAGGCCTGAGAGGCATCGCGAGCTTCTACAACCACACTCTCCCCAGCAGCACTGTATTCGCTGAGGTCATCAAATGAGACGAGCTTGCCAGTCCAATCATCGGCTCGCAACCCACCCTTTCCCGAAACAGGCGGCACAGCACGAGCAATCGGAGCTACGCCCTTGCCTTTGCCTTTACCCTGTTGCTCCGGAATAGAAGGCTTGCCCTGGCCCTTGCCAGGTGACTGATGCACCACCGGTTTGGCTTCCTGCGGGGAGGATTGCCCAACAGTGCCCTGACCGCCCTTACCCTGTTGTCCGCCCCGGCCGCGACGCCTCTTAGGCTGCTGCCATTCGTCGTCAAAGCGGACCTCACGAGCCGGAGGCTGTGCAGCTCCACCGCCGCCTCCCGCGATTCCTTGCAAGGCCTGGTTGGCTGATGCAACCGTGGCCTTGACATCCGCTCCACCTCCGCTTGCAAGTTGCGTAACCAATTGAAGGATAAGCTGCAGCAAGCTCATAAGCACCTTCATTTGATCATCGTTCACTGCTGGACCGGGATTAGCGGCTTCTCCTACGCGCTGCCCTGCAACTGGCGACCGGCGCTCTTCACGACAACGGATAGTCCGACGAGAGCCACCGGGGCCAGGGTTGGCAGCCTCCCCTACGCGTTGGCCCCGATAGCCCCAGGAGCTGCGCAGGTAGCAATAACCCCACAAGTGGAGAGCATGTTCATGAACAGTTGCACTTAGCGACTGATGCCTCGTGTTTTTGATTGTGTCCCAGCTGTGCCGACTGAAAGTCGGCCCCACAAAATCGGTCACAATGTAACATGTATGCACCCAGCATGCAGCGGTGCACTCTACCTCACAACGGCCTCCATGTGCACTGTGCATACGATGCCGCTCCACTCCAAGCACCGAGTAGCACAACACACAAAGCAAAAGAAATGCAGCCTGCCGCTCATCGTTCGCTGCCTCGCCTGGAGGCCCCGCCGCCACCGCGGGGAGGTGATGAGCATATCGCCGGCCCTTCGCACGCGTGTCGTGCTAGGGTTGAGGCGTTCCGGGTTCGTGGGGTTCGTGGCTGGTTGGTGCCGGCAAAACTCAACTTCTATGACTATGTCGATCCACGAAGCTTAGAAGACTCAACGGGAACCTGCACAGCCTCAAGACCTGAAGCTGGCTAAACTGCTTAGGCTTCCGAGTCGCAATGTAGGTATGATCCCAGAGGACCAGCAAGGTCTTAGACTGCTTCAGGATGCCGCCCAAACTCACAATGCCTTCTGCCTTGTTCTTGTCATCCACCTACGAAGGGACACTCGGATTCGCAAGTTGTCCAGGAGGGTAGAGTCTACTTGGGATGTTCAGGGTTGTACACCTGATCGATGCAGCAGATGTCCAGAAAAACTTTGACCTTGGCTGTTCACAAGCTGACTCAGGAAGTTGCTGTTTTCAGCTGCAGCTTCTCCCATGCAGTTCATGCAGTTATGCTCCATGCCCTGCGGTGCTCTTGGATCTCGACACAACGTAGAAAGGATCAACGAAAAACAAATCACAAGTTGCGAGAATGATTCCAGCGTTCTGCAAGCGAGCGGCACGAGAAGGCCACAGAAAGAGCGTCAGCACCGAGGAAAAGGTTCCGGCTGCCATGCAGAAATAGGGGATCTCCCACACTGGGCGATATTCCAAGAGATAACCGCTGCGCGTGAGACCGAAAGTCAGGAAAGCAGCCAGTGTACCTTGTTCAGCAAGCTTGCCTAGGGGCGTTTACGGGTCGTTGCATATTCCACGAGCTCTTCCTTCCCCAAAGTGGGGTCACTAGTCCTTTCTCTGCAATGGCCGGCTAGCTAAGCATCGGCCGATGGATACATTAACTACAATTCACCTGCCTCTACCCATCCTACCTCATGCTGCCCATCTCAGCTAAAGCGCCCGAATTCAGATCCTGGTTCCAAACCCTGCTTGCGCTGGGACTCGAACAGCTTATGTTCCCATTTTGGACTCTGATGGGCTGAGTTTTTTTGACCTTGCGAGTTTGGGCCCTTGAAGCTTGTTGACCGATGTTCCAGGCTATCTGGAATGTCCCTAGTGCCTGTTCTGGATTTCCATCTCCATGACATGCGCAGCCACGCCACCGATGATGCTGGCAGGCAGGCCGTTTTTCAGGAACAGCAAGCAGAGGATTTTGCCTTGACTGTTCACGCCGCAAGTCGAGACAATCTTGATTGCTGTGCTCTCTCTGGAGACAGAGAAAAATCTCAACGTGCTCCTGGATGCGATATGGCTTGAGCTGCCAGGAGTGTGACCAGAACTCGTCGATGGCTTTGGTGGCGTGACTCTTTCTGTGAAGTCTTCGAAGTCTGCGCGGATTCTCGCCACCGCGCAGCGCGTCGCCTTAGACTGTCGGACCCTCTCGGCAACGGCTCACCGCGCAGTCCCGACTCACAAGCTCAGGCTGCTGCCCAGGGAATAGAGGGCCTGGTAGGCAAAGATGGCACGAACTAGTTCAGGGCGCACAACCTGTTCAGTTCGGAACACAACTTTGGAACACAACCACAGCCGAAGGCAAGGCCAACCAGAAACCTCAAGTGGTTCCTCCAAAGAAGCACAGCACAAGTGTGGGCTTCGACGGCTCACCTTCATGCCAGACACCCATCTTGACAGGGATTGCATGTAGTTCTGGCGCCGGGCCTCCTGCAGAGGCAACGAGGCAGGACTCCATTTCTTGTGTTTTCCCTTTCGGTAGCGCCTCCTGAGCTGCCTGTGCATGTTCGTCGCTGTCTGACGACTCGGAGACATCATCCACAGCAGCACCTATGGCGTCAGCTTGCGCCATGGCCAAAGGATACCTGCAAGATCGGGTGACTTCCCGATGCCAGGAGGAATGGTAAGAGCTCTTTGGGCTGGAATTCTTGGAACCACCGATGCCGCGCGCCCCCGATTCACAAGCCTGAGCAGCTGCTGAGTCAGTACAGTCCTTGGAGACTCACTTGGAGCCCCTCCAACACGGCTTTGGAAAGTCTGCGGCGCACTGGCGAGACACTTAGGCACAGCTCCGTTTTTCATCGCAAGCAACTGCCCCCGGCTTCACGGTGCAAATGCTTGCAGGACCAGGCGCTCTTCCTACTAGCGTCCGGCAGCTCGTCCTGTGCACCGTCAGTCAGTTTTTTTGGTCAAGTATTCACCGCACCACATGTTCGGAACAAAACCTCTAAGCTGAGCTCAAAGAAAAACCTTTTCTAGTCAAGGATGTCAACTTGTTTTCCCGCCATCGAGCCACAGTAGTTTGAGCCCCAAAGGGAAGGTTAAGGAGTTTAGGGAAAATTAAGGCGAGCAACCGTTCACATGCAGAACTCAATCGACAGCTCAAGACGAATCTTTTCCAGAGTGTGGATGCCAAAGCCGTCGCAGAAGTCACTGAAGCCCACTTCGAGGCCAGCACAAAAGTCACTCACCCAACTTTAGTTTGTGGTGGCCCCGAGGTGGATCACCAACTGGTTTTCTCCGCCATCTTCTGCTTCTTCGAGGCGCGGCCCTCAGACAACTTCAAAGGCTTCAACTCAGCACACCTGTCCAAGAAATCCTGTCTAACTTTCGACATGCCGTGCACCACATCAAGAGGAACATCTGCAATGCAAACCTTTTGACGTAGCTTTAGATCAAAGCCATCGAACTTGAGATTTGTCAAATCATCAGCTTCTTGATTTTGTTCTCGCGGCCTCCAAGACAATCGCAACAATTTGTTGTGTCTGGCCAGCATGCTCACCATCTGCATCAGAACACCGAAGAGAGGCCATTTGGTGGAATGACCTTTCTTCTGTGCCTGAGGCGCGGATTTGTTGTCTGTCCCAGCATCCACAATCACTCGAAAGGTAACCTGGCCCTTTTCTTCGCAAAGATGCCCAAAGACGACCAAGGCCAGGTACGAAGCAAGTAATTCTGCAGACGTGCTATGCTGCTTGGACTCTCCGTCGACACCAAACAACCAAGGGCAGTCAGCAGGATGGATCTCGAGAGCAAACCAGTCAGCCGTCTTCGTGTCCAAACCCCTCCTGAGAGACCATCCTCCCAAGACAATCCTTCCTTTCTCACACTTGGCATCCGTCCGGAAGGCTTGTTGACTGTACGGTTTTACTTGGCAGATTTGCACCGTGTGGGAGAGCACCTCGAAGTGATCGCGCAAGTAGCACAGGCTCAAATAAACCGCTTCAGGCGCACGTGCCGTGGTGCCGCGATTAAGGAAAGCCTTCCATGCATACAAGGGGGCCAGGAAGGGCCTGACCCATCCCACCATCCGCCCAACAAAAGTCAAGCGGCCCACGAACTCCGCCAAGCTGCGGCCCAGAATCATCCATCTGTCCCTTTCAACCGCTGCAATCCAGTCTAGTACCCAGCGACACCTCCTTTCAGAAATGCCCGCTCGGGATTCATAGTAGGAAAGAAAATACCCCACAAACTCAGCCTCGAGACCACCCTTGAACTTCGCGTAGTTGAAGGGCGTGCCAGCCACCTCGTAAGCGGCCAGCAGAAGCCAAAGGGTCTTGAAGCGGTCCGGACCTACCACCACCACATGGAGATCATCAACGTAGATGATCTGTAACGCCCATCTCTGAGCCATGATCCGTAAAGCCCACCTGCCTATGGCCCCGAACAAACGCGACCAATGGTATGATGCGCTGGACACGCCAAAAGTCCCTACCGTGTTGATCCAGAGAGTTTGGGAGGAAGAGCATGTTTTGCAGCCCAGCCTGCCCCAGTCTGATTTCCTGATCTTCACGCAGCGATGAGCCGCCGAAATGTCCGCCGAGATACAGAAAGCTGCCTGATTGGTAGCCTTCGCCCGGGTGATCAGTTCGACGATTTCTTCCGGTCCCGGAGTCTCCAAGCGGTCAGGCACAGAGATCCTATTATTAATCCGGACACCGTGTGTAGCGTCGTGCAAGGGTCTGACCTCGCCATTTGGCTTGCTGATCGCTCCCAAAGCAGCCACCAGCACCTCTTGGTACTCTTGCCGCGCAGCCGCCTCCGTAGTAGCAATCATTCGTCCCATCGACTCATCCTGCTTAAACTTCTCCTCCAGCTGGGCCTGGGTCAGTTCAGCAGACGAATAGTTCTGCATGATGGGCTGGAAGTCGGTCTCGTCTAATTTTCGACTTTTGACACGTGCACGGAAGACCTGAGGGGTCCTCTTCAGCTCACCGTCGCAACCTAAGGGCACTCCTTCAGCAAATGACTCCGTTCCTTGGCAAAGTACTTCCCAGTCTGGATCCTTCAGCATCTTTAAAGACTGCCCAAGCATGTGCAATAGAAAAGGTTGCCTTTCCGGGATTTCTCTGGCGGTCTCAGGCGCTGGAAGTAGATCGCAAATCCGCCCCCTGGCCCGCCAAAGCTGCTCTTCCGAAAACGGCGACCCTTTGAGCCTGCCCAGTGCCAGCTCCATGGATTTGCCAATAGCCTCGTCGACAAGATCACATAGCACACTCTCAATGGCCTTAGCATGTTTGCGCTCCTCTAAGGTCTGTAGGTGTCCCCTAGCCTCCGGGGGCCAACGGCCCGGCTAGCAAAGACCAAACCCATCCACGAACTCCTTGGTATAACCCTCGTGATGGCACTGCATCGGTTGCCCAAGGGCCCGGCTATGTCTCGGATCAAATTGTTCCCCTTTGTCCTCGCCTGCATCTTCTTCCGAGCTCCCAAGAACAACGACCAACGAATCATCGCCGCCAGTCTCCTGAGACTTTGGGTCTGCCGCTGAAACCGAGTCCCCGCCGAATCCCCCCAGCCCGTCAGGGAGTGGAGACGAGGCAGAAGCGGCTGAACCTTGCGAGTGGAGAGGGAAACCTAAGTCGCGAAGCTGCTGAAGTTGTTGTGGCTGCAAATTGTCCATGAAGGCTGGGTTGTATGCAGCCACCACTAGTCTGTCACCTTGCCAAGGCATCGTGGCGTGCCACGAATTGCGTGCATCAAAGAAGACTTTGGTGTCGCAGACAGGATGTAAATTACCGGTAATTACCGAAGATCGTTTGTCTTTCAGTTTCATTTCAGTGTTGCCGTCCGGAGATTCCACCCAAAGCTCGCCGTTAGCAAAGGTACTGACACCAATCAAGAGACTGCGTGTGTCAGCATTGCCAAGATCTTTGTGTACTTCTGCCTTGACATTGTGCAAGAGGATGAAGGAAGCATATCGATGATCCGGAGCTTGCTCGCGTATGAACTGATCGCAAAGCTGAGTGCTGAGCGGAAATAGATGGCAGTTTTGCCGAAGGCCAACAAGGCCCCCTTTGGAGTAACCCCCTGAAATGAAAACAAGACCCTCCAGAGAACCCGAAACCTTATGAGGAGGTTCCGTAGGCAGCAAAGAGAAAAGGTTACTGACTGTTGATCTAGCCACGGGCTGGCCTGTGGCCAACACCTTAGCTGCAAAGCGCTCGGCCTCATGCTCGATGCGACCGACGTCACCTGTGTCTGCGAGCGCGGGTGCACAGACTCGTGCACCCATGCATAGTTGTGCTATGTAGAAGCAGAAAGCCGAGGGGTAAGCCGCAGACGGCCCTGTGCGCCACTGATCCCCTTCTAACCCTTGCAGCTGCTGCTCGTGGTAGTGACCGCAGGTGCCCAACGGGCCGACATACCACCCTTCTTCATCAAAGACAGGCCATTCTGAAGTGTATGCCGCCGGATCGGGCAAATTTGTAGCTAGTCGAGTGGGTTTCGGAGTGTCAGCACCGCAGTGACACTGGTGAAGAGCCCAGGTGACTCCCTTCGCCTCCGTGACCAACTCCTGCAACTCTGGAAGCTGCCAAACACTGGCAGGAGATTGTCCGTCCTTGGTCCTGCCAAGATCCTCCGGATGCTCCCAAATCCAAAATTTCGAAACTGAAATTTGCAACTTGACCGCCTGTAAACAATTGAGAATGAAAGAGTTGTGCATCTCAGCAAGCTGTCGACTCTGATTTGAATTCCACGGAAATCCCCACGGAAATGATCGATCCCGAACAGGCTTAGGAAAAGTGCTGCCCATCCAGTTGCATCTCGCCCGCGAGAAAGTGTTACAGTGTTACACGGTGGTGAAAGGATCAACACATCCCAAAGGCCTGCTGCGACCTCCCGAAAGATGTCATCCCACAGGTCCTTGGAAGTGAGGTCATGACCTGGATCCCGTTTCAGATCCAAGGCTCGCACATGCAAATGAATGTCGAACTGGAAAGCCAAATCCTTAAGATGTGACTCGATGTCCCCCTCGCGCGGGACCCCTGCAAATAGATAAAGCACCCTGAGTCAGGCTTTGGCAGCATTCGCTGTGTCGCTGCCACCAGCCTTCTGTTGCCAATGCTGCCACATGGGATGCTGCTGCCCGCATCCTGGTACCTGACAAGTGTGTACTCGACCGCATGACCCGTCACAGCCTCCCTCATTGAAGGCATAGCAGATCTGTCTGCCGTCCGGGGTGTGTGTTAACACCCGTTTGCCTTTCGGCCCTTTGTCCTTGCCCTTCGCCCCTTTCTTCCCGCCTTTGTAGTCACCCTTCATGTCGATCAACTTGCCTTTGCCTTTATCACCTTTATCGGTGTTGCGACTCCAAGGTTGATATGGCTGCCAACGAGGAGGTTGTTGTTGCTGTTGTCCCCACCGTAAACGATTCCCACGGCCTTCGTTGACAACTCCTTGAAGGG